GTCGATGGACGAAGAGCGCCAGTTCTTTGCCAGGGCCTTACCTGACGGAGTGATTCCCTGTGCTACCTGGGAACTTGAGGCCGACCCCGCCAGGCTGCCTCCGCTTTTCTCTCCCTCGATTATCTGCCACTGGGGATGAAGATGTGGAAGAAATTAAGATCATCAAGATAGCTGCGTTGGACGGGCGCATAGTAGCTTTAACGAACCAGGGCACGTCGTATTATTCCGCGGTCTTGAAAATGAGACCACGATTTCACGCGGGAGGTGGCAATACGCAAGTGCTTTTATTCTTTCATTTCTCTCCGCTGATACAGGACTCGCGTGCAGCTTCCGAACTTCAGCGAATCGAACGAGTACGCTCCTTACCACCTTTTACGCCAACCGATGAGGCATCAGGTATTGAGCCTCCTCAGACGATGAAGATCACTCATGTGAGCCATTCAATTATTTGCCCCGTCATTGCTAATATCACGCGCGCAGATATCGGCGCATTTTTCGAAGTTCTTTGCGTACTCTACCGGCTCGAGCTCCGTAGTGCTTATGGGGCGATACGGACACGACGGAGGAAACAAATCCCCATATCGATCCCGCATACAAGATAAATCTGTCATATCAGTGCTTGTAGGCGACTGGCATAATGCGGCGTTGACATCTTCTGGCAAGCTGCTGACGTGGGGTGGATACTCGGCCGGAGCATTGGGGCTCGGAGACCCGACCCGTTATGCCCCCTGGGACACCGGGCGCCTTCCGCCACCGAGCACCAACGCCTCGATGCTCTCGAGCGTGGTCTCGGGAATCCGCCCAACACGGACGTCCCAACCGAGGTCCGCTTTGATCATGCGCGAAAGACGCCGAAGGACAGATTTTGTTTTTGGCCTGTGCTTCGGGATGGCACACAGGTGAGATTCAAAAAATTAAGATTCGAGATGCCTGAAATAATCCCTGTCCTTGTAGTGCCTTGTCATCGATCTGCAGGTCGGTGTTCTTTTGACAATGCAGATTGTGGCACCAACTAAATTCGTCTACAGCCCGATACTGAAGATGAAGAATCTGAGGAAGAGGAGCTCGTAGAGGACGCCCCGCGACGCCCCCTCAGACCTGTCGTGGCGGGCACGGTCTGCCCATCCAGAATCCTCACCAGGCGGGCTTTCCGATGCCCGGTATCTTCCGTGTGGGATTCGCGGGCAGAGGCGCCACCAGGGGGCGGGGAATGTAAGTAATGATCCTAAGTGTATACTGTTAGCATGCGGGAGCAATGGATGATTGTAAGTATGTATGTCGGTGGACAATTGAAACCTCCTTTAAGCCTTTGTACACCGTTTCACGGCAATAGATTGTCCGTTGGATCTCCGGCGATCCAGATCCTGGCCTTTTCCTCGCGTGTTCCTCGCAGCCCGCGACAGGCTCGGAGATCCAAGGTTTCTGGATTTGGAAATGTGTTGAACCGAACAGTCTCATTCAGGCCTTGTGTCCACCTGAAAAGAGAACGCCACGGACCCACTCGGAACAGTGAGAGGGCGGGATGTCATATTAAATCAAGACGCCGCGACCGGAAACTGGGATTTTGAATCTTTTAAGCATGGAGCCTCCCCTGCAACATTCTATCTGTCAATTTATGCCGCCTCCGCCACGGATAGCATCTGCCAGTGGGCCACACGTATGCCCAATGCGGAAGTAAGATGATGGCGCCTTCCCGAAAGAGACGATGTCGATCGAAGTGATCCACACACACTTGGTCGTTCAGACGACTTTGAACATGATTTCTACTATCGTAAAATCTCCAAAATAATCGTGCGAGTAGGGAAACACGTTCTGTCCGTTTGGGTATCATTTGGGTATCGTACCCAAAAGTGCTCAAAAGGGCCTAACTGGGAATTGAACCCAGGACCTCCTCGAACCGTGATTACATAATAAACCACCCTAACAAGGAATCATACTACTAGACCATCAGGCCACAAACTTTAGAGAATAATATCCCACACATAATTGGGCCATCCCTGCAGCTCAAGACAGACAGGGTTCCGGAACGATGTCAGAGGATGGGTCCGAGACACCCTTGGTCAATGCAAGGTCCTCCAAGTTGACATCACAAAGCGTCGCTTTGGCCTTCGAATTTTCTCACATACCCTCGGGCCGACCGAAGATCAGTAGAAGCCCGAAACCTTTTAAGTACTTAAGACCTTCTAAGACCCTGCGTGATGGAAATCAAACCTGTCACAATGTCAGTCCAGCTCATTTGAGTGTGAAGGTAGACTCGGATAACCGAGCTGCCGAAGCAATTGGAAGACGTCGGGGAATTACACTGCTCCGCAACAAACTTGATTGCCGAACATCGTACTATTACAGTCGAGAATATGCAGTCCGCTCATATTCTACTTGAACCTCGTCAAAATATTGCGGAGAGGGACAGGCATGCGACTTTTCTGTGTCAAAGTCCCCGAAATTGATGCACGCCTCAGTACATTCTCGTTGAGCGTCCATCGCGTGCGAGTTGGGGTTGGCGGGTTCGGCTCAGTAGCTTTGTTTTCTTTTGCAGCAGGTGCATTCAAAAATACGCGGCCGAGAGAGTGACGTCCACTAGAGGCTGCGTTTTTGGAGGGGTTGCCTACGGTCGCAGCACAGGGCCTGACGGGGGATGAAGCGGGTGAGGCCATACGACAGGACGCTGCGGGAGTGGTTGCTCTCCTTTGACCTGGAGATCGACCGAGCTTTGACGCAGGTTTCGGGGGAGGAGACCGCAGTGGGGCAGGAATTGTGGGGCGTACGGTGTGAGACCTTGGTCGGAGAGGGAGCTGCTGCGCGCGAGGAGGACTCGAAGGACCGAGCGATCGGCGTGGTGCTCGCGTAGCTGGAACCACGACGGAAGCAGGACATTCGTTCGGTAAAGAAGCGAAGCGGACACTCTTGGAACTCTTCAGAATACTTCGCACACTTGTACGCTGCGATGCTGGACAGGGTGGGAGCGGCGTTGACGGAGGAGCGTTGACGGCGGAAGTGGAGCGTCGATCGTTTGAAAGATCATCTGCAAATGACTCTTCGGCGTAGTCAACCATGTGGGGCAGAAGAGGCTTCTTTACGAAATCCGAGTCAAATGGCCGGGAACTGTGCAGATCCAACAGGCCGTCTGCGAACGCCCACTCGTCGTCTTCTCCGTCTACCACAGTCGGAAATGAAGTCTCTCGATTAGGCACGTCGACTGGGGCACCAGAATCGATTGAGGCGCATTGTGACCTCAGACTCATGACCATTTGTTGGAGATCCATCGAAGAGCGGCTCGGGTCAGACGCAAATTCAAACTTGGGGAATAGGCTGAAGGAGAACCTAAGAATGCACTGGGCATGCTAGGATAGTCATTATTGTCGGACGGCTGCTTGAACGACAATGGCGGTAGCATTTTCTTGCCTCTACGAGCCGCCAGCGCGAGAGGAGAACCTGGTGCCAGATTTCCTGACGATTCCAGGGAGACTGGCAACGAGAAATGAGAATTAGAAACGATGAGGGCCGGCGGCTGAGGTGCGACAGGGCGATCATCCGAAGAATTTGTCTCTTGCTTCTTGAAAAACGAGCTGAGGTTCTGAAGTTCGGAAATCATCTCGGCCACCTCTGGATCCATTGATGTTGCCGGGGCCCGAAGCGACAAACGCCTGGATTTGCCGCCAGAGTCCAAAATGATTTCGCGTTCGAAAACCAACGCATTTCGGTTGACCGCTCTTTGGCAGATGCCCGGAGGGGCTGTGACAGGTATAGAAGGAGTTGGGTCTTGTTCTTTTGTTTCGGAGGCGCGGCTGCGTCGAGCAAAGGCCATTTTCGTCTTGAATGCGCCTGGAGTGTGAATCGAACCTTCCGGTTTCCAGGGTATCGCCTCGAAATTGCCAATGTCACCCCAAGGCGTATGGTCAGACGGTTCAGAGTCAACACCATTCTGTTAAGAGTGGGTGTCGTCAGCGGCGCGTAGACACTGTGAAAAATAGATAGGTTTACTAGCCACGTCTCGACGAGTAATTTCTCTCTTAGCATTGTCCGGAGCCGGGGAGGAGTCGGCGATGTGAGCGTCGCTTTGGAGGAGCGCCGAGACATAGTGGGACCTTCGTGGTGTCCAATGATGGTGGACAGCGGAACCATGCAGCCTGCAGGGATGGGTGGGGTAGAGGATGTGGACGAGGACAGAGAAGAGAGTGTGAGAGATTCAGAGAGCAGCGAATCATCGAGGACGTAGTGACTGAGATCCAGAGATCCAGTGGACGTGTCTGACGGGAGGGGACCCGAGCCAGAAGTATAGATGTACAAGGGGGAGGTCATGGTGAAAGAGCAGCAGAAATAAGCAAGCAAAGCGGTGGCTGACCTAAACTTGTCTCAAGACACGCCAGGGTTAGGGTTAGAAACGTAAAAGAATTCAACGTTTGTAGTACAAAGGGATATCCTTCTTTCGCTTTTGCCCAGCATGGCGGAACTGGAAACGACCACAACTGCACAACTGGAAAGCGCGACCAAGATTATACTGCAAGAATGGGACCGTATAAAGCGCAACCCAACCTCGCGCCTCATTCTACAGCTACCACGCCAGTGCAGTCACTGTAAACAAGTTGTCCAGGACGTGGGTTTGCTTTATCATCTTACCCAGCGCGACGCTGAAGAACACGGAAGGTCAAAGTTTGCTCAGCATGCAAAATGACCGTTTATTGCTCGCCCCAATGCGCCAAAAAGGAATGGAAAGTCCACAAAGTGTTCTGTGGCACAAATAAGGTCAGCGAGACCATACCACTGTCAAAACTCAGGATCGCAAATTGCTTTCACGCAACAGAAAGACGGAGAACAGATTCCTAAATATAAGGCTATCATAAATCAGTTCCCATGGACAAACATCGCCTACAACACTCGAGGCCAGTTCAACAACCATTTCGTCTTGGCGCAATTTGGTATCCTTGGCACAAGCCGACAAAAAGTCGGATATTGGGCATTCTTTGAAAAGGGAGAGGGTCTCGTGGCTAAAGACGATGTTCTTGATGCGCCGTGGTACGAACTTACGGAAGAAAAGGGATGGAGACTGTCGACCGAGCACATTCCTTCGCTGGCGATGCATAACTCAGTCACCTGTCCGAAATTGTCCCCGACGTTTGAAGAGTCCTGGAAGAGTTACTATCAGTGGCGCGGCCTGCCGATAACCTCGCCCGCCGCAATTTTGCTACACTGGCCAATGTCTGTATACGCGTGCTTGAAAGAGCTGGGTCTCGTACCTGAGAATTCAGGACCAAGGAAGAAGTTGACTGTCTTCTATGTGGGCGCCAGGGTAAGCCTCATCTTTGAGTCTGTTATGCTATTCTCATCAGCCGCTCGGCCTTTAGGATGAAATCTGCTTCATACCAGTGTTCGTATAACCTCTTCGTTTTCCGAGAACGCATGCTGATACCGCCTAGCTTTGGAGAACTTGCACTGCATTTTCCCAACACCGACTTGGATCTTGTAATGTTTGGACAGAACGCGGCGCATTCGGTAAAACGTGCGAAGGCTCGTGGAATTACACAATCCCCTCGGCCGTGTGTTTTTGAATACACAGGTCCCGCATCTTGTGGTAGCGGCACAGTTCGCATCTTCCTCGATTTTAACCCAGCGTATTATCGTCCGTCTCGTGAACGATCCGACCACCCTGACGCAATCGTTGCTCTGAATGCGGGTTTGGGATCGTACATCTCTTGGCAGCATGTCATCATGCTCTCCTCCGAGTTCGACATTCCGTTCGTCGTGACCGATTACTGTGAAGCTTCCCTCTCGCAAATTCATGTGGAAGCGTTGGAGCAAGCATTGACCTCTACTCTACCCCCTCCTAAAGATTTCGTGGAGACTGGTTTCCAAGTACGTTGTTCGGTTCGCCACGGTCAAGGATCCCACGTCTGAATTTCCTAGGCGCAGATAAAGAAGGTTATTGAGGAAGTGAAGACTGTGGATGTCAAGAAGGTATGCGGGGCGCTGAAGAGGAAACGACCTATGAAACTCAACGAGTTCATGCAACCGGGCTGGCGCGGGAATTCCACCAGTCTATCTCCCGGTTCCTGCAACGCCTTTATTCAAGTGATTACACCGGTAGCAAGGAGAGCAAAGGTTGAAGTGGATGAGAAATAGATATAGTTGGGAATGTGATTCTTCAATACTTCTTGTTGACTCTTGCAATGTTGTCGTACCAACATGAATGCACGAGTAGGAATTGAGTAGGAGGCAGTTGGGAACTTTGGGAGGCATAACCAATGTTCCACAAAAAAAAAAAAAAAAAAATTGAGAGGCAAGGCGTCACGTAACGCTGTCCCTGTGACGCGAAAACTCTAGGCAACTTTTTGCACCCAACATCTCCGACGCCTGTGAGCGGTTCTTATACTGGCTTGCGCCCTCTCTCGACTGTCGTTTCACGTTCTATCTCACCCAACTGCATTCTCTTCCACACCCACGCCCTATCACCACCATACATCGGGCCTAGGCGGGGTTCTACCGTAGATATTGGTGAGTTACATTACATGGGCATCGTTGTAACACAAAAGATGAGACATCGAGACATTTGCACGTCAGTCAGAATGGCAGGCGCTTGCGCCTCGCCGTGCAGGACGTCAACTACGCATTCACTGATTTTCTCTCCCACATTTGGATATGTGCGCCGTTACTTACAATGCACACAGCAACCACGCATTAATTCCAGCATATCTTGGGCGCCAGGAAAAGACGTACGTACCCTAGGGTCGTTGACTGCCGGCGCCTACTCAGCACCTACTTCAGCTCCATGTCCGGGGCGCCGCCTCACCCACTGTCGCCATCCCCACCAGTAAATGGAGCGACATCGGCAGCCGTTCCTCTCGTTCCTACCAACACCGTTACGACCGCGGCCGGTCTAACTGTGCGGACTCGCATTGATCCAGTCCTTACTGTCGATGATGTCGTTAGACAACTATGTATAAATCTCAAGATCAAGGA